GTATTGGCTAACAATCAGTTGAGAATCTGAGCAGGCGTCAATTTTTCTTGCCCCTGCCGCCTTACACATGCGTATACTGGCTATCAGGGCCTCGTACTCCGCCTCGTTATTAGAGGCCTGGAACTTCAACCGTAGTGCGTATTCATATTTGTCCCCTTTCGTAGATTTACAAATTACGCCTGCACAACAGCCGTTCATAGTAGAGCTCCCGTCTACATATAACTTCCAAACCTGATCAACATTTTCCGGCTGTGCCGGTCTTGTCATTCAACAATGAAGTTGGCGAACGCCTGACCCTTCACTGTCTTTCTAAGCTCGAAAGAAATTTCCAGACTTTGTAATTCAATAGCCCACTTGAGCATTTTGCCGGATGACTCCAAGGTTGTCATTGGCCGCTTTAGTGGTTGGTCTGTGTAGACCACCACCGGATGTTCCAAGAAGTATGGCTTTAACTTCTTCAATGCCATGAACAGAGTGAGGCCAAAATTTTCAACCAGGGGGTATCGCAGCTCAGCATTCCGGAGAACATGGCTAATGAAATAGACCGGGAGCTGAATGTCGTCTCTCTCAGCTAGGAGAACGGCACTGAGGGCATGATCTGAGACGGCCAAGTACATGTAGAGAACCTTTCCTGCTAAAGGGCTGACCAGCCGTGGCAAAGAGTGGAGGTGCTCCTTCAATTTCTGGAATGCCGCCTCGGCATTCTCCCCCTCATTCAAATCTAGTCTTCTTCTTGATTGCCTGGAAGAAGTAGAGGCACTTGTCACCTGACCGGCTAAGGAATCTCCCCAATGCTGCCAGATAACCGGTGAACTTTTGGACTTCTCTGACAGTGCCGGGTGACTTCGTGTCAATCACCGCCTGCACTTTTTCCGGATTGGCCTCTATTCCCCTTTGATCAATTAAGAATCCGAGAAACTTCCCAGACTCAACACCAAAGACACACTTTTTGGGATTAAGCATGACCTTATGCCGCCTGAGGGTGGTGAAGGTTTCTCGGAGATCAGCAAGGTGATCCGTCTGGAGCTTGGATTTGACTATCATGTCATCAATGTACGCCTCTACATTCCTTCCAATTTGATTAATGAAGACCGTATTAATCATCCGTTGAAAGGTAGCAGGCGCATTCTTCAGCCCAAACGGCATCACCGTATAACAGAACAACCCTTGATCAGTGACGAATGCCGTCTTTTCTTGATCTTTTTTCCACAAGGGTATCTGATGGAAGCCTGAGTAGGCATCCATGAAGCTCATCAAGGCATGACCGGCTATAGAGTCGACTAGACTGTCGATCTTTAGAAGTGGATAGCTATCCTTCGGACATGCCTTGTTCAGATCTGTGTAATCAACACACATCCGCCAGGTCCCATTCGGCTTTTTGACAAGGACCTACCCAATCCGGGTAGTAGCATTGCCGAATGAACCCGGCATCTAGTAGCTTCTTGACCTCGGCGGTTGCCGCCTGAGATCTCTTCTCACCATGGTTCCTTTTCTTTGGCCTAAACGGCTTCTAGTTTAGATCCATGGCAAGTTTGTGGACAGCAAGATCCGGGCTGACGTCTGGCATCTCTTCCACTTCAAAGGCAAAGATGTCTTTGAATTCTTTCAGCAGTTGGTGCACGTCTTCACCCAACTTTGCAAAAGCAACCGTCCCCACTTTTACAGTTCTTTCCAAATAGCTGTCGTCTAGAATAATATCAATACTATCACCAGCCGGCTGGGAACGGAGATCCTCTGATCGTTCCCCAATCAGTGATTGCTATTGCTTCTCTTTTTTTACGGTCACTAGGTGGTCCGCCTTTCTCTTTTTGTCGGCTGCTATGGGAGCAGGCGCGGCTTCCTTAAAGTCATCAAGGTCAATGGGTTCCTCGTTTTGGCCGGCTGTTATAGTAATCGGCTTGACGTAAGAGAGGTAGCACTCCCTAGCCGTCTTCTGATCCCCGTTTAGGGAACCCACTGACCCATCATCCCTCTCAAACTTGATCAGCATGAGGGATGGGATGATGACTGCCTTGGATTCATTGAGGGTAGGACGACCCAAAATAAGGTTGTATGCGATTAATTCCTCGACCACCAAAAACTTGACGACCATGTGTCGTCCTTCCCCCTTCTCTCCTAGCCGGATGGGTAGGTTAATCCTACCTACCAGATGCACCACTCCTCCCCCAAAGCCAACTAGGGGGTGAGGAGCCTTGTGCATACAGCTACGCTTGTACTTGAGCTTTGCCAAGCACTGATAGCTGATCAGGTCAGACGAGCTCCCAGTATCGATGAGGATCCGGCCCACTCGTTGGTTGGCAACCTTTCATTCGATGACAATTGGGTCATCATGAGGCCGCCTGACCATACCCCAATCCTTCTCAGAGATGAAGACCTCGGGGAAGGTGTCTTTCGACGCCTGGCCCTCATCCTCTGAGTTGGCCAGCTTCCGGATGTTATCCTTGGTACCCCGGATGGTAGGACCACCGCTCGCGAAGCCGCCTGCTATGGTGAAGATATGCTCTTCATCAGTGTCAGAGCTCACAGCCGGCTTCTTCGACGGTTGTCCATTGTTAGTTTTGGGGTTACCCTTGGACTTCACCAGGTAGGACTTCAAAGCCCCTATTCAGCTAGAAGGTCCAATAGCCGCCTGAGGCTGTAGCAACCATTGGTGTCATGGCCGACATCCTCATGGAACTGATAGTACTTGCTCTTGTCCTAGTTCTTGATGGAACTCTTCATTGTAGCCGGTTTTTCAATTGTTAACCGGTCTTTGATCTCCATGAGGATGGAGGAGCAGTCCTTGTTGAACTCGTACTTGGGGACGTACGGTTCCAACTTTCTCAGCTTCTTCTGGGACGGCTGACCAAAGCGATCCGCCGCCCAGACTTCTTTTCTTTTCTTGCTCTCTTCTTTTGTGGCCGACTGAGCAGACCGGCTTTCTTTCCTGTCGGACCTCCTAGGTTCCGACGAGTGCTTGATGGCACAAAGCTCCATCGCCTGTATATAGGCTTCGGCTTCCATCAGCGCCTCTTGGAGGATGGAAACCCTCTTGCGGACCAGGTCGAACTTAAAGGTCGACACATCCTTCAGACCCTTGAAGAAGTCTGTGTGTGCAACTTCGTCAGACAGCCCCTGAATCTGAATTCTCATCAAATTAAATCGCCTGACGTAGGAGCGTAGTCCCTCTTTGTCTCCCTACTGAATAGCCTCTAAGTCGAGACTTGTCTTTTTAGCAGGGATGTTCATGGAGAAGTTGGACGCAAACATGTATGCAAGCATCTTAAAATTGTTGATGCACCCGGCTGGTAGGTTGCCGAACCATCGTTGGGTTATGCCCTTCAATGTTGCCAGGAAGCATCGGCACCAGGCGGCATCCTCCAACCCCTGTAGGTACATGAGGTTGGTGTAAGCCATTAGGTGGTCTTCCGGGTTGGTGGTACCGTCGTAGGTACCGACCAACACATTCTTAACCTTGGCAGGCTGAGCTGCCTCGGTTATCTCCTGGAGAACGCCGACGGTTGTTCCCCAAGGTTTAGCGGCCGGAGCTGCCAGTCCATAGGCTGGACCTGCTGTGCCGCCGGACTCTCGAAGAGGGTCGGCTGCATGTATGGTGATCCATACGGCATGTATGGCTGTTGGGGCACATACGGAGCCGGCTGGATGATCTGAGGGCCAATACGTGCAGACATGCCGCGTGACTGACTCCCTTGGTTTGTCTCCAAATACTTCATTGAAGTATTACGAAAACTGTGTGGGTAACTCGATGTTGAGACCAACACAGACATTTGTTGACTTCTCTTCTCCTAGATGAACATACGGGCGTCGGAGTAAGTCTTTTTTTACCCATGCTGCTGAACTTTCCGAATGGCCTTCCTTTGTCCTGATTCAGGGAAACGAAGTTTGGAGAGGTCGATCAGGGGCCCATCCGTCCCCTTTGGTTTAGGGTGAGGAGGTAGGCACCCGGTCTTTGAGGTGCTTCTTCCCGGAGGGAGAAGGCTTCTTTGCCGACTGACCCTTGTTTGAGCCAGTTGAATTCTTGATTATGTCCTTGATTTCCCCCTTGAAACTCGTCATGAATTTCATGAGCTCGTCTCTGGTGACGGGGGTTGTGCCCTCCGCCGCCTGGGGTTGCCTAGCAGGCTTACCGGCTGGGTTGCTGGGACCAGCTTTGTCTTCACCCCGTTCCCTTGTTTCTTTGGAACGGGTGCGTCTTGTACGAGATGACCCGTCTGGGGCCACATAGGTGTCGAACTCATAGTCGTCACCACTATCCTGGTCCGTATGGACCTCAGGCTCGGCACCATTATCCTGGTCCGGATGCCATCTCAGAAGTACTCTCCCCACAGACGGCACCAAATGTTTCAGGGTTTTTGGAGTCCCTCGGGAGAGTTACAATTCTGGGAATGCGCGCCGACCGTCTGTACCTGCAAAACCACGAAACTCCGGTTGGGTGGAATTCCGCCTCTGGCGATCAAGTTAGAACGTTTCCGGATGTATAAAAGTGCGGAAAGTAAATGGGTTTTTCTCTCTGATTCAGAGAGATTCTGCAATTAGTATTACTCGGTTTTTTGGTGTTTTATATTTATGAGTGTTTGTGTATGTTTGTTAATGTGCAATAAATGAGGAGTTTCCTCTATTTATAGCAAATGAAGATCTACTCCCCTATTAGGGTTACAATGCCATGTGTCAGCACCCGATTGGATCCCATTGGGCCTTTCAAGGGCTGCCACATGTCAGCTTGTTATGGGGCCACGTGGCATAGGGGTTTTTTACCCCAAACACATGGCTTGATCAATATCAGTAGGAGTAGACATAGAAGACTAACCCGTGTAATATGCTTGATGAGGATAAGCACCAAGAATACCCTGTTGAGAAGGTTGTTGTCGTTGTGTGGGAGGACAGTACTGCCAGCCTTCTGTTGGGTAAGGACAAGGAGGAGTAGCCTATGGTTGAGGCCCCCAAGGAGTCCACGGTGGGTAGAACCACTGACCCGGATAAGCTGTGTTTGACCCATGTTGCTAAGCACTATTCTGATTATTAGAATGAGCAGGCTGCCGTGAACTGTTGGTGTTGTTACGATTGTTGTTGTTGTTGTTGTTGTTGTTGCAGTTTCTAGAATTTTTGTTGTTGCGAAAATGTTTCACACCTTTGCTGTGGTTGTTATTATTCCCACTGTAATGTCCACCATTTTCAGCAAGAGCCATCTCAGACCCGAAACGAAGCACAGAAGACCCATCATCATTGCTTTGTTCCTCAAGTTCCAACATCGAACGCAGCGTGTCAAACGAAGGTAGAGGATGAAGGTGTTGCACAGAAGAACGGAATTGCTTATACTCATTAGAGAAACCCTTGAGAAGTTGAAGAGCCATTCGATTGTTCGACACCGTGTCGCCGACATTACGTTGGCTGTCAGCCAGTACTTTCAGACGAGTACAATAAGGTTTTACACCAAAAAATTGCTCCAATCCGGTGTTGGTGAATTGAGCATCCAAATGTAGTGCTCTGGCAGACTTGTTTAACTGAAAGAAATTCACCAAACGATTCCAAACATCAACAGCCTTATCATCGGGATTGATAATAGTGTTAAGAAGGTCGTTGGATATCGTACCATATATCCAGTGACGAACTATGTCGTCCAAACGCTGCCACAAGGTTGAGTCAGTAGGTGTGGCTGCCGAGGAAGGAGCAGTAGAGGAAGAAGAGGGAGGTATTAAATGATCAATGACCAAGTATGCCTGACAATGGAGTTAAAATAATGTGGACCAATTGTTGAATTGTGTGCCATCGTAATCGAGGACGACTGGAACACAGGTCTTGATATTGGCCACAGTGGTTGCGGGATGAAGCTTGGTGATGTCTACCATGGAATATCAGAAAGGTGCGAAAAGAGAGGAAGGTAGTTTGGAGGAAAGAAACTAGCCTGATACCATGAAAGAGTCTGAATTCTTGATTTGCTTAATGCGTGAATATGCTGTATATACAAGATAATACCAAGATTCTAGCCACTAAACTAGGAACTAATATCCTAAAATTTTGGAAGGCTATAATATGGTATCAAGAGCAGATTAAATTTTGGGACCGTTCAAAAAAAAAATTATCCCCTGCCGATGGGTTGGAAAATTAAACTCACCGACGGGATACATAAATTTTATCCTAAAATTCCGCTGTGCAACTTTCTTTTTTTTTGTTGGTATACATGATTAATCCATCATATATATGATGGCATGTGATTTTTTTTTTTTTTTGGAGTATGTGAGTGAACTTCTCCTATACTACATCCCCATGGAGATGAAGAAAAGCCACGTTTGGCACAATTTTTTTATTTATAAAAAAAACAAAACTTTTTTTCCGCTTCCGCTACTACCATGGCTACAAAACCCTTTGTTGACACCGACAAATGATGGTGACCATATTCAACTTTTCTCTTGAATAGTTTCAAACCCAAATCAAACATCCGCTCAAACCCTTTCGGCACCAAGTATTCTCTCTACCACGGATAGCCAACTATCATTTTTTCTCCAAACCCCTTAGAAGAAACAAATCCATAATTCGGCACCATGTAGTCTCTCTACTAAGGATAGCCAACTATCAATTTTTTTTTCTTCACACCCCTTACAGAGAAACAAAATCATTTTCGACAACCCGTAGTTTATCTATCAAATGTTGTCAAGCATAGACTTATTTCTCCAAACTCTTTTTGAGAAACCCACTCACTACCTTGTGCTCTAAGATTGGCCTCGTCTACAGACCGTCCATCTTACGGGGCGTGTTCAGGAATAATTGTATTTCAAGATTGGACTTTCCCTTCGGGAAGGTTAAGTGATAAGCTTAGCATCAGTATTTGTTATTAGTCATTATCTTTGTATTTTGTTATACTAAGTCAAAGCTTATCCTAGTTTGTTTCCTTTTATCTAGCCAAATAATAGGGAAGTGATATACTTCTTGTTAGCTTAATTTATGTTAGTTGTTATCCCTCTGTATGGCTATATATACAGCGTTGTATTCCTCTTTATAACAAAAAAAAAATATGATTTTTTTTTTTTTTTAAAAGTCAGAATTCTTGATTTGCTTGATGCGTGATTATGCTGTATGTACAAGATAATACCAAGATTCTAGCCACTAAACTAGGAAATAATATCCTAGAATCTTGGAAGGCTACAATTATGGGGATTTGACTATACATACTCCATAATTATCTAACATATTCAAAATTCAAAAATATTCTATCTTACAAAAATATTTACAAAATATTAACAGTCTAACAAAAAGGTTTAGAGGGAAACTGGGAGGGGCAAAATAAAAGTTTTTTTTGGGCAAATACCATCATTTCACTAAAGGCAGGGGCAAATGGGCAATAGCATCATTGTACTATTCATTTGAACAGTAGCTTATAAATAGTGTTTACTAGATGGAAGCCCGTGCGATGCACGGTTTTTTATACATAAATCTCATTAAAGAGATTTTTTTCTTAATTAAACCCTATAATTTTTTTATTATTTTGCTTGTTAGAAAACGGATAATTTGTTTTATTTTTATGCAACTTATAATGCGACCTTAATTTACTAATATTAGTTATATGAAAATTATAAGTATGATAGATATTAGAATAAAATCATAATCCTGTTCGTATTTTTTTAACCTATGATTCGTTTGTATAACGAAAACACGTTGTTCAAATATACATATATAGTTATAGAATTACTATTTTTCTTTCACAAATAATTACTTAGACCACCATTATTCTTTTACTCCGTATCAACTTTATACAATGAAAAATTAATAAAGTAAACCCAAAACTATAGGGTTAAAATAAAGACGGTGGGAGTAATAGTAAAAGATATGACTTTATAAATTTTTAAATAGTTAAATGAAATATATATATATATATATATATATATATATATATATATATATATATATATATATATATATATATATATATATATACTACCATGAGTGTTGCATTATTAAAATTAATCTAATTGAATAAAATTAAATCTTTATAATGAAATTTCATTATCATATGTCTTAATAATAGAGTTATATGTATACACTATTACAATGATTTTTACAATAATAATATAGATATTCTACCACAAACTATAATAACAAAAAATAAAAATTATCAGAGACATCTCTTACAATCTTTATTTTTTTTTCCCTACTATTGTAACATTATAGTTGACTTAGGGTATGTTCTGATTTACTGAACTGAGCTGAGGTGAACTGAACTGATTGAAGCTGAACTGAACTGAATATTTTATGAGAGAGGAAAATTAGGAACCGAACATAACTGAACTGAGCATAAGCTGAAGAGAACAGACCCTTACTTTTCCAATAATTTCTTTCAATTGGCGCATGGACATAATCCCTTCAAATACAGAATAATTAATATTAAGTTACAATTAAGTTGTTTAACAAAATTTAATACGATAAGTAACATAATTAGATTAGGTAAAATAAAACAAAACATACATCTTATAAAATAATGAATAACAATCAATTTATTTTGTTTACCATCCGAAAGCCTTGATATACTTACATTATTTTCAATATTTTTTGTTAATCAACGAGTTAGACCTGAAAAAAATTCACACCATGAAAAAGTGTAGATAAATAATATTCACATGTTTGTGTTTTTTGTATAGTATATATATATTGTCTATTTACAATTGAAAAAAAAAAATCAAAATTATATTTTTGAGAGGACGTATACAAATCTTTAATATCATCCTATCTTATATATTTGTGGAGTAGCAAATAAATCTCTTATAAAAATTTTATCTAATCATGAAATGGGTTGCTAGATAAGATAAAAATTGAACATTATTGTTTTTTTTTTAAGAATATTGATAAAGACTGAACATTATTGCTATTTATTTTTTTGAAGAATATTGATTTTTTTGAAAAAAATTGAAGAATATTAATTAATTATAATAATTTATATTTCTTTTAAAAAAATTTTAAGAAAAAAATTGATTGAACGTTTTCTTAAAAACAAAATGAACATATATTTTCCTTTTTCAAATATTTAATTTTAAAGTGTTTGTATATAATAATTGTATAATTTATAGTTTTTTTTTAATTTAAATCCTAATATCAAAAGATCATCTTTTGAAAAAGATAATTTTTAGTTTTAAAATAATTTAAATAATAAATCATTATTCGTCGTTTTTACCTACGTGGCAAAATTTTTAAATTTCATTCGTCACTTTTGCTTATGTGGCAAGTGAATTTTTTATTTCTAAAATAAATACAAATCTAATTTTTAATTGGTTAAAATAATACCGTGCGATGCATAAATTGTCATACATATATCTCAAGAAAAGATATTTTTCTATATACTCTAAGTTTTTGTTTTTGTTTTTATAATTGTTTGATTTATTTACAATTTAATAATTTCAGACAAAAAAAAAATAAATAATAATTTAATTAAAATGATATTGTCAAAGCATATTTTTTTTTGATGTAATTTATAATGCCACTTAATTTATTGTTGTTTTGTATTTTATTCGTTGTTGTTGGTTATATGACAATAGTATGATATCTTTAAAAAAAAATTTAAATATGATATTTCATTGATTACATATTAGCATAAAATCTTTAATGTGAAAAGATAATAATTTTTTATTTTTAAAATAATTTAAATCCTAAATCATTATTCGTAGAACAAAATCAAAAATAAAAATATAATTATAATAATCAATTTTGAAAAAAATTGTAGAACAAAGTTGACTTTAATTGAGGGAACGTAATCACCCTGTAATTAAAATTAAAAAATTAAGTTAATTTTATGACTTAATTAAGCTACCTAAATCACAAAAAATTTGTTTTAATCATAAAATTAATTGATAAAAACTAAAAGGTTCATTAAAAGATTTAATAAATGTAAACGATTTATAAAGATATAATACCTTCTCATCCAATAAGATTATCAAGAGAGAAACTCGTACTTTGATATTCCAAAGATTTTTGCTCGAATTTAATTCTCTGATTAAATTAGATATGCATGTAAAAACAAAATTCAGTAAACAAAACATAAACATATAATCATTAAGTATCCCAAATAAACACAATTTAATCAATAATCACAAATATACATTTAAACATGGGTTTTAAAAATTAGGCTAAGAATTACCCAGTCATTGATGACCTAATAAAACTGACACAAATTAATGACACAAAATTTGCTTGGTTTGGTTTTGTATTGATACGAAATTTTTTTGGTGTGATATGATACATCAATTTATAATGGTAAATATCACAAATTTTAATTTAATTATAATTAAGGAATAATTTTTATTTCTTATCATAAACACTATCAAAATTTATCTTATAATAGTAGGTATATAAATCCTATATCTAAAGATGATTAGTTTAAAAGATAACTTTTAGTTTTTTAAATAAATTAAATCCTAATAAATCAATATTCGTTGTTTTTACTTACGTGGCAAAAATCTTAAATCTCATTTGTCACTTTTACTTAGGTGGCAAACGAATTTTTTAATTCTATAATAAAATAGAAATTTGATTTTTAATTGGTCGAAATAATGTCTTTGCTTATGTGGCGCGCCGAATGCTCTTAAAAAATGACTACTTTATATATATATATATTAGATTTGAACAGTGTTGGAACTATAAACTTTTATAGAAGGGTTATAGAATTAGTAGCTCCTAATCCATCCATACCAATTGTTCTGCGTATATGCTAGAGTAGGAAGAATAAAATAAGATTAAAAAAAATTAAAAAATTGCGTCATTTGGTTTTATATATGACGTGCCTCTTTAATTTGATCGTGATTCATGAATATTTCTATGATCTTTTTTGTCTGGAAATGATTAGGTTTCAGATCAATTTTATTAATAAATAGTCTATTTAATTTGCAACTTTTATAATATTTGAGAGTTACTTGCAACTCGGTCTAACTCACCATTTCAGCCTGTAATTTAAGAAAAAAATTTGAGATGACCAATACGACTATACGTACATGAGTGTTAATTATATAAAATCTACAATTAAATAAAAGAAACAGAAGTACATTATTTTAATTAATTTGTCTATTTATCTTATATAATCTCTGCTATATATTAAAGGTGTCAATTTGGATATTCGGATCGGATTTAGTAAGGTCGGGTCAGGTTAATTTTAAAGTTGAGTCATGTTAATTTAATGTGTTTACACAAATCGAATATTTTTTGGGTCGGTTTCGAATCAAATCGGGTCGGGTTATGTGTGATTTTGACACCTTACTATAAATCGTATGTCTAATAGTGAGATGAGTTGCAAGTAAATAAAATAATCTGAAGAAGTACAAATACAAATAGTACTCCCTCATTTTTCTAATAAAAAATTACATTTGCCCTTTTAGTTGTTCCCTTATAACAGTTTCAATTATTTTCAATATTATTGTAAAATTTATTTACACATTTACTCTCATACAAGCCCGCTTCCAATGCAGCTAGTTTTATTAACATAACAATTTATCTTATTATAACTATATTAATAACAATATATGACAAATCTATTACAATATATATAATAATAACAATATATGAAAAATCTATACAATAATATGACAAATCTAACATACTCCCAATGCAACTACTTTTATTAACATAACAATTTAGCTATTTCCAATGCAATATTTTTATGAGAAGGTATTAGGTGCGGACGTCCTCACGCAAATTTAGTGCGGCAGGCTTGGCCGATACATTTTAGTTGTTGGCTGATATGTTTCATTTGTTTGCTGATATGGTTTTTGTGTTGGCTGATATTTTTGTTCTTATTGATAGGTTTCTTTTGTTAGCTGATATCAAACATCATTTGGCTTATATATTTATTTAGTTGGCTGATATGTATATATTTTAATTGTTGGCTTATATGTTTCATTTTGTTGGTGATATGTTTATTTTGTTGGCTTACCCGTTGCTTTTGTTTGCTGATTTCATCCTTTTGTTGGCTTATATGCTTTATTTGTTGGCTGATATGTTACGTCTGCTGGCTGATAAGTACCTTTTGTTGATTGATATATTTCTCTTGTTGGTTGATAAGTATTTTTTGTTGGCTGATAGGTTCCCTTTATTGGCTGATACGTTTTTATTAATGTCTAATATGTCCCTAATATTAATTGATATCAGACATTTATTAGCTAATATGTTAATTTTTTTTTTTTTGCTTATATGCATCATTAGTTTTATTTTACTCCATTTTCTCCTTTCTACTCACGCAACTCCCCTGTTGCCCCCAAAGAAAAACTCCACTCATGCAACTCCATTCACGCAACCCACACCTTTTCACTGCAAATCTGTAATTACCGAGCATCACCT